ACAAACCGGATGCCAAAAAAGTTGGGACACTAAACAAATTGTGAATAAAAACTGAATGCAATGATGTGGAGGTGCCAACATCTAATATTTTATTCAGAATAGAACACAAATCACAGATCAAATGTTTAAACTGAGAGAATGTATCATTTTAAGGGAAAAATCTGTTGTTTCCAAATTTCATGGCGTCAACAAATCCCAAAAAAGTTGGGACAAGTCCATTTTTACCACAGTGTGGCATCCCCCCTTCTTCTTACAACACTCAACAGACGTCTGGGGACAGAGGAGACCAGTTTCTCAAGTTTAGAAATAGGAATGCTCTCCCATTCATGTCTAATACAGGCCTCTAACTGTTCAATCATCTTGGGCCTTCTTTGTCACACCTTCCTCTTTATGATGTGTCAAATGTTCTCTATAGGTGAAAGATCTGGACTGCAGGCTGGCCATTTCAGTACCCGGATCCTTCTCCTACGTAGCCATGATGTTGTGATTGCTGCAGAATGTGGTCTGGCATTATTGTGTTGAAAAATGCAGGGTCTTCCCTGAAAGAGATGACGTCTAGATGGGAGCATATGTTGTTCTAGAACCTGAACATAGTTCTCTGCATTAATGGTGCCTTTCCAGACATGCAAGCTGCCCATGCCACAAGCGCTCATGCAACCCCATACCATCAGTGATGCAGGCTTCTGAACGGAGCGTTGATAACAACTTGGGTTATCCTTGTCCTCTCTGGTCCAGATGACATGGCGTCCCAGTATTCCATAAAGAACTTCAAATCGTGACTCATCTGACCACAGAACAGTCTTCCATTTTGCCCCACTCCATTTTAAATGACCCCTGGCCCAGTGCAAACGTCTGAGCTTGTGGAGCTTGCTTAGAAATGGCTTCCTCTTTGTACTGTAGAGTTTCAGCTGGCAACGGCGGATGGCACGGTGGATTGTGTTCACTGACGATGCATTCTGGAAGTATTCCTGAGCCCATTCTGTTATTTTCTTGACAGTGGCATTCCTGTTTGAGGTGCAGTGACGTTTAAGGGCCCGGAGATCACGAGCATCCAGTAGAGTTTTACGGCCTTGACCCTTACGTACAGCGATTGTTCCAGATTCTCTGAATCTTTTGATGTTATGCACAGTTGATGATGATAACTTAAAAGTCTTTGCTATTTTACGCTGGGTAACACCATTCTGGTATTGCTGCACTATCTTTCTGCGCAACAATGTTGGAATTGGTGATCCACTTACCATCTTGGCTTCTGAGAGACACTGACACTCTGAGAAGCTCTTTTTATACCCAATCATGTTGTCAATTGACCTAATTAGTGTTAATTGGTCTTCCAGCTGTTCATTATATGCTAAAAAAAAAAAATAATTCCAGCCACTTATTGCTACTTGTCCCAACTTTTTTGGTTTTTGTTGACACTGTGAAATTTTGAATCAACATATTTTTCCTTTAAAATGTTACATTTACTCAGATTAAACTTTTGATCTGTCATCTATGTTATATTACGAATAAAATATTGACATTTGCCATCTCCACATCATTGCGTTCAGTTTTTATTCACAATTTGTTTAGTGTCCCAACTTTTTTGGAATCCGGTTTGTAGTTTCCATCACTTCTTCCATTATTTGTCCATTTCTATCATTACTTTTCCCCAAAAAAGTACTATGTGCATTAAAGTCCCCATACCACACCACTTTCCCATCCACATATTTTAACACCTCCTCCATCACCTCATGTAACAGTGCTTTGCATGGGTTATAGAAATTTATTATCTTATACTTTCCTTCTTCTCCCCATATTTCCACTATTATATATTCTAACTCTATTCCTTTTTTAATATCTGATATTGAATTCCTTGTTTTACGAATGTTCCACATCCTCCTCCATTTCCTTCCTGTCTTTCTCTTCTTATGCTATTATATTCTTTGATAAACTCCAAATTTGATTAACCACGTCTCTTGTATACATATTTCTGGTTTTTCATCAAGTCCATCTATATATCCTTTAAATTCTTGTCCATTTGCTATTAAACTAAGTGCATTCCATTGTAGTATTATCATGCGTTTTTGTCATTGAGGTTTCCTGACCTCCCTTCTGTTTCCAGTCTTTTATTTACATTTTCCCATAACAGCTCTTTAAATCCCAAAAATCTTTCAGCACCTCTCACAATTATTTTAATCTTCTGTCTTGTGTTTAGCCTGATCAGAACAGTTGATAATGTATGCCATGAATAGAATAAGTTTCTCTGTTGTCATTGAAATGTTTTCTTCTGGTTGAGAATGTTGTTGTGGGGTTTGATTCTTTATTTGATCCGTTTCTCTTGTTTTTGGTCCTTGCACACTCTTGACTGCTTCAGCATAGCTTATGTTTTTGGTTATCTTGATCTGTTGGATTTGTCCGGCCCTCTTCCTCACCTCACATCCTCCATAATTAACTCGATGTCCCCCACGGTTGCAACACTTTACTTGAGCTTCTTCTCTACATTCTTCATATCTGTGCTCCTCTCCACACTTGGGACACCTCTGCTTCCATTTACACACCTCAGCCACATGTCCATAACGCTGACACTTGTAGCAGCGGAGTGGAGGAGGAATAAAAGGCCTGACTGGGAAACTCATGCATCCTATTTTGACTTTTTTCAGGTAGAACAGCTTCTGCAAACTCTACTAGGACTGACATGCTTGCTACTCTTCCTCCATTTACTGTTTCTGACATTTTGATATTTTTTACCTGTGCTCCAGCAATGCTTCTTTTTTTTCTAAATCCTCATCAACTAGTATCCCTGTAGTCACTCACTTAATATTTTTGTTTTCTCCTACAATCATTCTGTCATCTTTTTGCAAATGCTTTCAGTGTTTAATTCTTTATTTTTTTGCTCCTCAGTTTTACAGATCATTAGGTTTCCATCTCTCAATATTTTTGCTATTTATACATCTCCAATTTTCTTTTTCTTGACAGAAAAATAGGGCTAAGATTTCCCTGTTCATCCTCTTTGTTAAATCATATCTTGAATTCTTCCCTCACCATTTTCCTACGAATCATTCTATCATCTGAACTATTCTCTTCTAATCCCCTTTTATTTCCTTGGTTTCAAACCATCTTGCCTCAGTCACCTTCCTTAACTTTCCTTCTCCCACCACTAACTGGTGTCCACTCCTCAACATTCATGTCATCCTCTGAATCTCCTACCTGATGTGCCATTTCGATCCATTCACACACCAGTTTATGCCAAAACCTTTGAAAGATGATCTGATTAATACTTGAAATTGTTTAAATTGTGGGCCTACAGGTGCTGATCATAAAGAAAGAATATCGTGAAAAGGTTGATTTCAGTAATTCCATTAAAAGTGAAACTTGTATATTATATTCATTCCACACAGACTGATACATTTCAAATGTTTATTTAATGTTGATTTTAACTGACAACTAATGAAAATCCCAACTTTATCTCAGAAATTTTGAATATTAAGACCAATAAAAAAAGAATTTTTATAAATGTTGGCCAACTGAAAAGTATGAACATGTACAGCACTCAATACTTCGTTGGGGCTCCTTTTGCCTGGATTACTGCAGCAATGCGGCATAGCATGGAGATGATCAGTCCAACTCCAATTAAGACTCTGGCACTGAAGACATTTAAAGAAGTATTTGGACACCTAGATAATAAACCATTGCAATAGTCCAGTCTAGACGTGACAAACACATGAACCAGTTTTTCTGCATCATTTTTAGATCAGATGTTTCCAATTTTAGCGATATTACGCAGGTGGAAGAAGGCAGTTCTAGTAGTTTTTAATGTGGGGGATAAAAGACATGCCCTGATCAAAAATAACACCAAGATTTTTAACATTAGAGCTGGAGGACAGATTAATGCTATCTAAGGAGGGAGAAAGACTGAAAATTAATTCCCAAGGTGCTCAGGTCCAAAAACCAAAACCTCAGTTTTGTCTGTGTTCAACTGGAGAAGAGAGTCATCCAGGTTTTTCCATGTCTTTAAGACATGCTTGTAGTCTAAGTAGCTGATTGGATTCATTGGGTTTCATGGACAAATACAACTTATCAGCATAACAATTAAAATTTATCCCATGCCGTTTAATAACCTAATGGAAGCATATATAAAAGGTAAAGTGTATTGGTCCAAGCACTGAACCCTGAGGAACTCCATGACTAACTTTGGTGTATGATGAAGATTCACCATTTACAAATTGTAAACTCCTACATGTGTCCAGTTAACCAATGTTTGTCTGTCCAAACAGGTCTCACTTGTAAATGAGTCTTCGAGGCTCAATGTGATTTATCTGTTTAAATAAAAGGTTGAATGAATGAATATAATTTAAACCAATTTAGAGCAGATCCTGTAATTCCAACATCATGTTCATATCTTTGTAGTATCTTTGTGTATCGTTTTGTTCTGTTTGACAATTTTAAATGGAATTTCAAAAATGACTTGGTAATTTGTTCTAGTTTTTTTTTCTTCCCCCCCATTCATTTACAATTCAGGGGTGGTATGGGTCACAGACTATCCTCGTCAATATATTTCAGATACATCATATCTTCTGTAATAGACTTTATGAAAAAATCCCATCAGCAACTTCAAAATTCCTGGATCAAACAGAACCCTAAAGCATTCATCTAGAAAAATGGTAAATGGACTGTACTTGTATAGCACCTTTCTATCTTATCAAGATACTCAAAGCACGTTGCACTACAATCGACCTCATTTACCCATTCATACAGCACTCTACTAGATCTCTACAAAGATAATTGAACAAATCATTCTAAAGAGACTAATCAGAGCTTTAGATCACATTTATACACCGATGAGACACTCGTAACAAGGGGTTCAGTGTCTTGCCCAGGGACACTTCAGCATGTGACTGCTGGTGGATTTGAACACCCAACTCTTGTGTTGGAGAACGACTGCTCTAACCACTCAGCTACAGCCGCCCTACCTAGTAGGTACTCTTAAATAAAAAAAAAAATTAAAAAAAACAACACACAAGTTTCCGTTTTTTTCCCCCAAGATTTTCTCTTTAATTTGGACATTTTCTCTAGTTGTCCATAACCGTTCACTTCAATGGTAGTTGCATAAACCTTTTCATTCAAACAAGAAGGATCTAAACCAAGATAGGCAGATGCAAGATGATTTAGCAGCTAGCATGCTAATCGTGCACTCCCAAGCAAAATGAGACCTGCAACAAACAAGTGCAGATACAAGTGTTCAAGAAGCTTTAAAAAAAAGGAATAAACATTCCTTACAGTTGTCCATTTATGGATCACCCCGACATTGTTTCTACCTGGTTTGTATCCTTCTAGGTTTAAGGCTGATTTAAAAAAAACAAACAAACAAACAAAAAAAAAAAACTGGGACCATTGCCATAGTACAGATCGATCTGCATAGCAAGTGGAAGACAAAAGGACCAGACACGGAGCCACTGCAGAGGGCAGATAACAGGACATCACTACACAGTTGGCACAGGATGGTCTTTCTTTTTACCTGTAGAGTGAATTGCTTAATTAAAAAAATAAAAATCCATTTAACAATTAGTGAGGTGTGATGCACTGGAGCTCTAGCCTAGTGTTGTACAAAGTTTAGGTGTGGCATGAACTCCAAACATCTGGCAGTTTGAGTGGGTGTCATTCTGCAGCAAGCTCCCCCCCCCCCCCCCCCCCCCCCCCCCCCCACACACACACCCCTCCCCAGTTTACAGATTCATAAGGCTACAAGGTAGGTGCCAGGATTTGATCATTATGCACAGAAGCACAGTTAGGACATGACAAGAACCACAGTGTGCTTGGGGGCCCATGTTGACAATCGTCACTGCTACATGGATGAAGCAGGAAGAGGGTGGGGTACTGTAACAGCAGTAATCGAGTCCCTTTACCCCTTTCCTGCAAAAGGCAACTAAGATCAGGGCAGCTCAAAATACTGTTGTCTGGCCACCACAATTTGGTTTAACAGTTCAAACTACAGAGGAGTCTCATTTAAACATTTCAACTGGAACACCCCACACCCAGTAGTGATTTAACGCAGGTTCAAATATTAAAGATCTGAAAGCACTCGTCGCAGTCTCAACTCTAGAGAACAAGATGGACATTCTGAGGGCCAGCGGTCAGTCCAGGTCAAGAGGTGTAAAGAGATGTGTGTGTGTGTGGGGGGGGGGGGGGGGGTGTTATGACAACAACGGGAAGGATTGTTACTAGTCAAGTTTGGGCCAATCTGTAAGAAGCATGGCTTAGAAGCGCTTGGGTCCCCAGGGTGAAGCCTTCACTTGTACTGGAGTTCCAAAGATTGGGAATTCTTCAGAGCTGCTCATGTCAGGAGCCTAAAATGCAGAACACAAGGGTCAGGACAAGAGCCACAATTTCTAACTACAGCATCAACCCTGTGGCCAATCTCACCTTCTCACTGCCGGTGGTCCACGGAGCCTCCCTCACCACAAAACCTTTGGATGGGCCACGGTGATCATCCATGGCAGCAGCACCACCACCACTTTGTGGCTTCACGTAAGCCATCTTTGACTCGTTCTCAACAACGTCGGCCAGCTGACAAAAATTAAGAGTGCATCAGAGAAAACCCTTCATATCCATCTGATGAGCAGAGAAAGTTCAGAAGAGCTTACATATTCCTCTTCCAAGTTAAGGAGATGATCGATTGCTTCATCCACGTGCTCAGGGCGACCAATCACAGTCACCTGGTTTGGGTCAGCAGCTCCACTCTGTGGAAACCTGAGATCAACCTGAAAACAGTGAAATGTCTCGTCATGATGGGGGCTGTACGAGTCTAAAAAAAAAAGGTCAACCGTGGGATTTAGATTAGTCGAAAATAGTTTTAAAATGAGTGAAATTATACATAAAACAAAAGCCTAGATGGCATTTCAAACCAAGGATATCTTTATGTAAACAAATGGCGCTTGTGCTATAGGAACACTCATAGCAATAAATGCCGTACTTTCCGGTCTATAAGCCGCTACTTTTTCCACAGGCTTTGAGCCCTGCCGCCCGTAAGCTTTGCACCAACGTGTCAATGGTTGGGCATTGGAGACGTAAAAGCAGTCGACTGGTACATGCTTTGATAAAAGTAAATTATTACTGTGCGACATCGTTGTGTTTAGATGCAAGTTTAAAATGAGGTCCCAGTATTTAAACGCATATTTACATTACACAGAGCGGCGATCAGGAAGGGTCTTCCCCCCTCCCCCTTCTGTCATGAGAGCTCAGTGAGCAGTGGATAATTTGTCAGATTTATTTTTAAAGCAGTCAGTCAAGACTGATACATATTTAAATAAGTAAAAAAAAATCTCTGTACGATAAAAATGCATTTAAATACCAATCTCTCATTTAGGCTCTGCACAGAACAGAGAGCACTACAGGAGGGAGGGGCTGTTCCCCCTTCCTCCTCACGAGCTTTGCTGGGCAGAAATCAACTTTATTTAGAAAGTACATTTAAAATCAGCGGTTGTTACAAAAAAAATATGTTTACCAATAAATAAAAAATAAACCTCAATGTTCACCTCAAATTTAATGACTAACCACATTTTACCAGTACCATTTGATTTTCGGTCACATGACCTCGATAGGACTTCTGGGTAATGCATTTACCAGTAAATAATTATTTAATAATTCCAGTTACGTAGGCATTTGGCACCGTTCTGTCCATTGATTATGCTTAAGATAGTTCGTGTTCATTTTTAAGGTATAATGGTTGTAACCAAGAGTCAAACAAGGAAGCTTCATGAAGACTTGTGACGATCATGACGATCGATGCAGTTTGAACATTTGTTGAAAGCTACATTTCTGTGAAACATCTGCTGGCTGATTTGTTTTTTTTCCCCCTCATTCAACCTTTATTTAGACGGGTTAATCCCATTGAGCCTCGAGGACTCATTTACAAGAGACTTGATTCTTATACTACAACAAGAAAGCTGCACACCGCCGGAGCAGGCTGGGGGCAGAGATCCCGACGATGAACAGTGGATGCCTGCGGCTTAAATAACTACTGCGTCTTATTCTTATACAGGCTTCAAAGTATTTTGGATGAACTTGCCCCTGTTAAGACGCGTACCGTTCACTTCTCCCGCTCAGCTCCCTGGTATACTCAAGAACTCCGCTGTCTTAAATCTAAAGGACGCCGTTTGGAACGACTATAATAAAACAGGACTCATTCACAAATTTGTTTAAGACCATAGAAAACACTACAAGGATTCCGTCTGCATGGCTAAATCAGCCTACTGTGCTAATTTAATTGGCACAAGGAATGGGAACACCAGAACATTGTTTTCTACTATCAACACCATACTATGACCTCCAGATACTCTCCCGTCACACATGAACACCAGTGATTATTGCAACAAATTTATGGACTTTTAATGCTAAAATTATGGGCTTTATTAATGCTAAAATTGAAACCATCAGGATTTGCCCATGTTGCAATCCACTTCCTCTGGTTTCCTTTCTTATAACCCCTCTACGGTACCCATTTCCAGTTTTCAACTCCCTTCTGTCAGTAGTTTGTAGTCTCGTCTCTAAATCCAAATCTTCAACCCATCAGCTTGATCCACTTCCTACAGTTAAACTGTCCACCGTCTCCATCTACTCTAATAACTAAGATTTCTCTCTCTTCTGGTTTTGTCCCATCACTCAACTCTGCTGCAATAACTTGAATTCTTAAATAAAAAAAATAAAAAAACAGGTACTGATCCAACTGACTTAAATAACTTCAGACCAATTTCCAACCTACCCTTCATTTCCAAAATACTCAAACATTTGCAGCCAAGGTTCACAGTCATCTTTCTGATAATGATCTGTTTGAAGAACTTCAGTCAGGTTTCCGCCCCCTCCACAGCACCGAGACAGCTTTGATTAAAATCACCAGTGATCTCCTGGTTGCTGCCGATGCTGGACTTTTATCAATTCTCGTTTTCCTTGACCCGAGTGCAGCATTTGATACCATTTCACACAATGTTCTTGATAGATTATAGATCATGTTCCATTGGGTTTTTCTGGCGTTGTTATGAATTGGTTTCAATCTCTTCTCTCTGACCGTCACCACTTTGTACAACTTAAGAACTTCATGTCACAGTCCTGCCCTGTTTATTTCAGGTGAACTGCAGGGTTCTGTTCTTGGTCCTCTCCCGTTTATTATTTTCCTTCCACCTGGCCTTCACTTTAAAAAATAAAATGTTTTAATTTTCATGGCTATGCGGATGACACCCAGCTCTACTTCTCCACCAAGCCCAACACCACCCTTCCTACATCCGTCCTTCCTTTCAGACTGCCTCTGTGAAATTAAACTATGGTTTAATCAAAACTTTCTTAAACTGAACTCCAAGAAAACAGAACTTCACCTTGTTGACACCAACTCTACCTTATCCAAATGCAATAGTTTCACAATTCAAGTTGATTACACAGTTTCTCCCTCCCCTACAGCCAAGAGTCTGGGTGTCATCCTTGATAGCACTTTATCTTTTGAATCTCATGTCAATAACATTACTTGGTCTGCATATATGAAACATCAACCATCTCCATTCATTTCTTACCCCCACCAGCACAGCCATCCTTAAATGCTCTAGTCACCTCTCAGTTAGGCTACTGTAACTCCCTCCTCTCAAAATCATCCATAAACTTCAGCTTTTTCAAAACACAGCTGCTCTGATCATCACCAAAACTATGTCGAAGGAACACATCACCCCATCCTTAAATATCTCCACTGGTTCCCCATAAAATATCACCCTGACTTAAAGATTCTCCTCCTCACTTTCAAAGCTCTCCATAACTTGGCACCTTTGTACCTCACTTGTCTTCGTTGTTATTACACACACGCAAGAAGTCTTCGCTCCTTATCCATTTCTCTTGTTATACCTCCTGTTCGTATGACAACTATGGCATCAAGAGCCTTCTCCCGCAAAGCCCCTCATCACTAAAACTCTTCCACAGCACATCCTCAGTGTTTCCCCTACCATTATACAAGCGGGGCGCCCCGCCCCGTCAACAGAACTGAGCGCCCCGTCCACCGAACCCCACCACCTGTCGGCACTGACGCAACTCTAAACTAGCGGCTCGCAATGCAGGTGCACTAGCAAAAAAAGGTAAAGGCAGCCTCTTCCTTCATGTTGAAACCTCACGCTGAACACACCCGCCACTCGAGAACTGTCAGTACAAACAGCGCACGGTTCAGATGAGAGTCATCTCTCCACCCGCCTACCCCCCCACCCCATGGATATTGATAACCATCTTATTGTTTTTCCTCTTTCCATTTCTTGTTCGGTGACCTTGAGAGATTTGAAAGGCGCCTTCAAATAAAATGCATCTTTTTTTTTTTAATGTACAAAATTATGATTCTCACATTTAGTATGTGTGGCTTACAGACAGGTGCGTTTTGTAGCCCGAGAATTATTGTACGTACTTCCCTCATGTGACTACTACTGAATGGCCCAACACAAACTAACACATAATGAACACAAAAACTAAAGCTAAGAATGGCCTCACACAGTCAAATGGCCTCGGAGGGATTATGGGTAAAATTTATGTTTATCGTTAATCATTTTGGTTAGCTGTTTAGCATTGTTCTTTTCGTGATTACCCGGTAGTGTGTTCTTGTTATCCTAGTTTGTGTGTTCACTATGTGTTAGTTTATGTTAGGCCATTCAGTAGAGTAACCATGAGTGAGGGAGATAGTTGTCATGAAGATCTGTGGGGTTCACTCTGTGTTGAACAGTAAAATAAAATTAAATAAAAAAAACAAAAAAAACAACATCTGGTGGTTGGTTCTAGATCTAGTAGATATTTTAACATTTAGTGTGCACGGCTTATATTGGGGTGCGCTCTATACACCAGCGGTAGGAATGTGCGATATGGCATAAAATTCATATCACGATATGTATTGTGAAGGGTGGCGATAACGATATACAGGCCCTTCTCAAAAAATTAGCATATTGTGATAAAGGTCATAATTTTCCATAATGTAATGATAAAAATGAAACTTTCATATATTTCAGATTCATTGCACACCAACTGAAATATTTCAGGTCTTTAATTGTTTTAATACTGATGATTATGGCATACAGCTCATGAAAACCCAAAATGCCTGTCCCAAAAAATTAGCATATTTCATCCCACCAATGAAAGACAAGTGTTTTTAATACAAAAAACACCAACGTTCAAATAATCATGTTCAGTTATGCACTCAATACTTGGTCGGGAATCCTTTTGCATGAATGACTGCTTCAATGCGGAGTGGCATGGAGGCAATCAGCCTGTGGCACTGCTGAGGTGTTATGGAGGCCCAGGATGCTTCGATAGCGGCCTTAAGCTCATCCAGAGTGTTGGGTCTTGCGTCTCTCAACTTTCTCTTCACAATATCCCACAGGTTCTCTATGGGGTTCAGGTCAGGAGAGTTGGCAGGCCAATTGAGCACAGTAATACCATGGTCAGTAAACCAGTGGTTTTGGCACTGTGAGCAGGTGCCAGGTCGTGCTGAAAAATGAAATCTTCATCTCCATAAAGCTTTTCAGCAGATGGAAGCATGAATTGCTCCAAAATCTCCTGATAGCTAGCTGCATTGACCCTGCGCTTGATAAAACACAGTGGACCAACACCAGCAGCTGACATGGCACCCCAGACCATCACTGACTGTGGGTGCTTCACACTGGACTTCTGGCATTTTGGCATTTCCTTCTCCCCAGTCTTCCTCCAGACTCTGGCACCTTGATTTCCGAATGACATGCAAAATTTGCTTTCATCCGAAAAAAGTACTTTGGACCACTGAGCAACAGTCCAGTGCTGCTTCTCTGTAGCCCAGGTCAGGCGCTTCTGCTGCTGTTTCTGGTTCAAAAGTGGCTTGACCTGGGGAATGCGGCACCTGTTGCCCATTTCCTGCACACGCCTGTGCATGGTGGCTCTGGATGCTTCTACTCCAGACTCCGTCCACAGCTTCCGCAGGTCCCCCAAGGTCTGGAATCGGCCCTTCTCCACAATCCTCCTCAGGGTCCGGTCACCTCTTCTCGTTGTGCAGCGTTTTCTGCCACACTTTTCCTTCCCACAGACTTCCCACTGAGGTGCCTTGATACAGCACTCTGGGAACAGCCTATTCATTCAGCAATTTCTTTCTGTGTCTTACCCTCTTGCTTGAGGGTGTCAATGATGGCCTTCTGGACAGCAGTCAGGTCGGCAGTCTTACCCATGATTGTGGTTTTGAGTAATGAACAAGGCTGGGAGTTTTTAAAAGACTCAGGAATCTTTTGCAGGTGTTTAGAGTTACGTTGTTAATTCAGATGGTTAGGTTAATAGCTTGTTTAGAGAACCTTTTCATGATATGCTAATTTTTTGGGACAGGCATTTTGGGTTTTCATGAGCTGTATGCCATAATCATCAGTATTAAAACAATTAAAGACCTGAAATATTTCAGTTGGTGTGCAATGAATCTGAAATATATGAAAGTTTCATTTTTATCATTACATTATGGAAAATAATGACCTTTATCACAATATGCTAATTTTTTTGAGAAGGACCTGTATATCGCAATGTTTTTGGTATAAAACTTGATTAAAAAAAAAAAAAAAAAAGCACAGGGTGTCCTTTTGCCATCATACGTTTTGAATTAAAAAAATTCCACTACTAGGTCCAGAGTTTTTACACAAACAAATCAAGTATTAGGTTTCTTTCTTGTGTAAAACAGTGCAAAAGATATCAAATGTAGTTTTAGCCATATGTTTTAAACAAAAGAATATGTTGTTAACTTTTAACAGTTTCCAGTCTTACTTAAGTTTCCAGTCTTAATAAATAAACAACAACAGAGCAGCATTTTACACTGAAACACTTCACCCTCCAACCCTCTAGTTGGCGCCTCATTCCGCTTTAATTGAGAGCTGACACAAAATGAGTCTGTGGCTTTGACCAGAGGGTCTCGCAGTAAAAATCACACAACACAGCGTTCTTTTCACAGATCAGAGAGCAGGTTTCTCTAAAGCTGACCAACGCTTACTTTAACTTTCGATGAAAAAAAAAACCCACCACCACTACGGCAAGCCGGCTGTGGTTAGCTTGTAGCTTCGCCACTTAACTCTTGAAGAAAAGACTTAAAGTCACTTGCGCACAGTTTTCAGCTCAAAAAAAGTAACTATTAAACTGACAACTCCGATTTTAATTCAGACAGCATTACTGCGGTTAGCCGGTAGAAGACGGATCTCTATCGTAGGCTAAATTTCTATCGTTTCTTCCGTGTACCGTTTATATCGCGCATTCCTAATCGGCGGTTATGGTGGTTGAAATTTGGGTGAAAATGCGTACCTTTAGTGCAGTGAGCCTGCAAACAACACTAAACACTGATGGGGGAAGTTATGTAAAGGTCATGGATGTTTTCACTTACTAAAGTCAAATTAATATAGAACCATGTATGTGAAGCCAAGAGTCCTTTGTCTACTCAGAGAGGAGTGTGATAACTGGCAACTTCTGACGCCTTCAATTCAATTCAGTTTATTTCTACAGCGCCAAGTCACAACAGAAGTCATCTCAGGGCACTGAACAGACATTCATTATAAAAAAATAATTATCTGAGAAGCAGACTGCTTTGAATTTAACTCCAGTGCAGAACTCATCTTGAGCAAGCATGAAGGCGACAGTGGAAAGGAAAAACTCCCTCATGAGAAAGAAACCTTCAATAGAACGAGGCTCCGGACAAGCGGTCACCTGCTTCGATTGGCTGGGTTTGAGGGGAACAGATGCACAATGGCAGGTCAAGAATCGCATGTTAAGATAGAAATATCAAATGTAAAACTATTTTATTTTAACAGTTCATTTAAGGAAATGAGGTCAATTTGTCCTTTACTAGTCTAAGCTTAAGACAGCATGACAAGCCAACCCCAACTATGGGATTAATCAAAAAGGAAAGTCAAAGCCCAGTCTTAAAACTGGACAATATATGTCAGTCCTTCAACAACTGAGCTGTGAAGCAGAGGTCGTCTTGACCTCCCTCTGTTGACAACGGGTATTTAAGCCGTCTTTAACTCCTTGTCCACAGGCAGACTTTGTGCTCAGGGCTTCATATAACATCTTGCACATCTGTTTTGTTTCACATCTGCACATCTGAGTTATGTTATCGAGCCGTTTACATATATTTGTAATTTATCATTTTCAAAAGGAATATTTCCAGACAATATGAAAGTAGCTAAGGTAGTTCCTCTCTTTAAAAATGGTGATAAATGTGTGTTCAATAATTATAGACCAATATCCTTATTACCACAATTCTCAAAAATTCTAGAAAAACTGTTTGTGACCAGATTAGATAAATTTATTACTAAACAAAACATTCTAAGTAACAGTCAGTATGGGTTTAGAGCAAAAAACTCTACATCAATGGCTCTCATGGAAATAATGGAACAAATAACTACTGCTGTCGATCAAAAACAGTATTGTTAGTATTTTTGTTGATTTAAAAAAAGCATTCGATACTATTGACCACACTATTCTCCTTGAAAAATTAAATAAATATGGTATAAGAGGACCAGCATTACACTGGGTATCTAGCTATTTAAAAGATAGGAAACAGTTTGTACAAATAAATGGTGTAAGATCTGACTTGTGCAATATCACTTGTGGAGTTCCTCAAGGCTCTGTACTTGGACCAAAGTTATTTATTTTATATGTGAATGACTTAGTGAATGTATCAGGACTCCTCAAATGTGTCCTTTTTGCAGATGACACCACATTTTTTTGTTTGGGTAAAGATGTAAAACGGATGTTGGAACTGATGAAGACAGAATTTGATAAAATACAAACTTGGTTTAAAATTAATAAATTATCATTAAATTTAGATAAAACTAAATACATGATATTTAGTAACAAAAAGAAAACTGTTGACGATCCATTTAAAATTGAGGGTGTTGAGATTTGTAGAGTTAATGAGATAAAATTTTTGGGTGTAATCATTGATGAACAGCTAACATGGAAAAATCACATAAATTCTGTAAGAACAAAAATATCTAAATCTATTGCAGTACTATACAAAGTCAGGGAATTATTAAATGATAAAGCTCTGTACATGTTGTATAACACAATCATTGTTCCACATTTAATCTATTGCATTGATGTTTGGGGGAAAGCGTGTAAAACATTTACAAAACCTATTTTTATTTTACAGAAAAGAGCTGTAAGAATTATCACCAGAAAGCATTACTGTCACCCATCAAGCACATTATTTTATCAACTGAAGTTATTGAAGTTCCATGATTTGGTAGATTATAGTATTTTATCAGTTATGTATAGGGCTCAAAATAACACATTACCATTAAATATCCAAAGAAATTTTGTTAAAAGACAAAGTTGTTACAATCTTAAGGGGATAGAAATATTTGTCAAACCAAAATTCAGAACTAGTCTGAAGGGAAGGTCTACCTCAATCCAAGGAGTTGGATTGTGGAATGGTCTAGAGAGTGATGTGAAAAATGCCAAGTCAATGTGTACATTTAAGAAAAAGATCAAATCTAGATTGTTAAAAAAGTATATATGAAGTAGCTTAGTGTGTGTTTTTTTTTAGAATTAGAAAAATTAGAAAGTTATTCATTTTGTTCTGTTACTTGAAAATTAATATGTCTGAAATAATTGTTTGAAAAAAGGGGCAGATATAATAAGATTTTTTCTTCTTTCTGCTGCCTTTCATTTTAAATTTTTTTGTATCTTTTTTTATATATTGTTATGGAATTGTTTTGTACTTTTTTTTTTTTTTTAAATGAATAAACTTCATACCATTTTTCAATGCTGCACTCCCTTGCAAGGATTAAACCTGGGTTGAAAAGATCTTCCCACTTCCTTGTGTGCCTTGTTTGATTAATAATTAAATTATCCAACAAAAACACCGTAGACAAGGACATCTTGTGTATATCAAGACTGGGCAGTGATTTTCTAATCTTAAGTCAATAATATATTAAAATCTCAAGAGTTAATGGCTAGTTTTGATGAACCAATATCTTTGTCCATTACTATTGTTTATTTTAAACATCACAAAATAGAAATGGTTACAAGGGAGACAAAACTTCACTGCTAAGGATTCCCAACATTTTCCATTTGCTACATGCTTAAACAAAAGAAGTTTTACTTTCTTCAAAGTTATAAGTTTACACACCCTAACGTTACTATGCCTTTAAACAATTTGTTAAAGCCCAGTTGACATCATGGTTTTTAAATGTTTTTGATAAGTTAGTTAATATTTGTGCCATTAAGACGCACCGCTTTTTTGCGACATGTAAAGTAGCAATAAATTAATTAATTCAGAAATAATCCAAAGATATCAGACAATTCTCAGGAGCCTCACCTTGAACTCGCTCATAATCTTGTGGATGCCCTTGCCTCGAGCTCCAATAATGCGAGCGTGGACCCGGCTGTCCAGGGTGATGTCCTCAGAGATCATTTCCTCCAGTTCGTCTACGATGGCCTGGATGGCATCTCGTGCAGCAATGGCTTTCTGCTCATACCCTACAATGGTAATCTGATCCTGTTTATAAAAAATAAAAAAAACACCACATCATTTTACACTCTGGCTCACAAAAGAGCAGATTTCTATTTATAATGATTAGAAATGCATGTGTATCGGAGTGGTGCTCTACCTGGTTTTCATTCTTCTTCTCTGGAAATTGGATGTTCACATCATGCTCCATGCGGATGTTTGTAATGATTGCTCCCTTACGACCAATGATTTTAGGGTGATACTTCGGGTCCACAGTGATGGTCAGCTTGAAGCTCTTCAGAGCCTGCAGAGGGTTGAGTGAACGTCAGTGAGTGGAACACAAAGCTGTTCATTATTAAGACCTTCCCAAGTCAAGTGTTATAACTGTGCTCTAATTTAAGGGCCAGTACCTTCAAACCAAACCATGAATGCAGTTGAAAGTATTTGAGATAAAAAAAAATTAACACAATACTAACTCGATTCTCCTGCTCGAGCTGCAGCTCTTTGACACGCTCCAAGAGGCCCTCTTTGGCGCGGTCAAGGTGGGTGGCCAAGCCTGTGATTGCAATGTTATTTGACTGCAGCTCAGGAGCAGGCACTTGAATGTTTACCTGAAAGGAGATGGGAGCGTAAGACACTGACTTTAGAAAGAGAAAAAATGAAAATAAAACAAACCTACCTCAAATTCATCCATCATCTTGCGAATTCCACTTCCCTTCTGTCCAATAATGTATCGATGCAGCTCAAAAGGCACTTCCACCTCAATAGTGACTGGAACTAAGGCCTAAAGAAGGGGATGAAAAACCAATTAGGTAGAAAAGAAGGTCGTGAGATACAAAAAAGGCTTTGGAGTCGGCTCCAACCTTCAAAGCCTCTATGGCGGCCTCACAGCGCTCTTTGCGTCCAGAAATCAAAATCACGTCACACTTTTTAGGAGAGTTTGGATCAACGGGTTCCTTCACTTCATCGGTCGCTTCTCCATTCTCTTGAACAGCAGCTTCTGCAGGAGGTGTAGCTAAATGCAAAATAAACCTCATTATGCAACAAGAAAAAATATATCCATTTTCTAGCCTCTTAAATGCAACTGGCTGTTAATGTGAACACTTTATTACTGCATTTTCTGCCGTACACGTCGCATCAGTGCAAATACGTCTAATAAAAAGTGGAAAAAAAGACGTCTGCCATATACGTCGCATCCATTATGCGCCACTGCTGACAACCCGGAAATTTGGGCCAGTGTTGTGCCAAAAATTGATTGGCTGCCAAGTGGCGACCACAGGAGGATTTAACAAGAATTTAACAAGATTAACACTTAAAAACAACTTGTTTGCTCGACTTTACTATAAAGGCGTGTCTCAGTTGAACTTTTACTTAATAAATGCACTTCAATGGTCAAATCAGCTGCATTTCTCCAGGGCCGTGCAGCAAAATGAAGCTGATTAGACGGTTGCTCCAGGCAGACGACGGTGGCTCATAAATAGCTACTTTTACCCATTACATGACACAACGGCATGCCATACCACTCGAGTGCCTTCTAGCTGCAGAAAATTGCAGTGTTCAATATTTTCAGTCAGAATGAATGAAAAGGATCAGTTAAAAACTAGTTTATAAATATAGGAAAATATCCATAAATATGTCACTTTGGCGTACCAGTCGCAGGGCATGCAAATAAGGAAAAAAAATAAAAATAAAAACCCACACGTGACTTACAAGCCAAAAAATACGGCATTTAAAACTAAAAAGAAATGGGCAGATTTCCAGTTTTACCTTGTGGGTCCTCACGTTCTGGAAATTTAATCAGCACATTGTGATCTCTAGTGATCTGCTGAATCCGTGAGCCTTTGGGACCCATGATGGAACGATGGAACTTTTGAGCAATCACACACTCCATGGCGACTTGAGCATCCTAGTGGGTTAATAAAATAAAAAAATAAGTACAATTCAAGCACAAAGATCCTTGGGGGGGGGGGGGGGGGGTGTCTCTACTAACCAAGTCCTCAATAATCTCCTGCATGCGCTTTTTGACTGCCTCCACACACTCTTTGGCTCCTTTCAGTGTGACCTTCTCGCTCGGAGAGCCCGTGCGAGGGAAGCTCACCATGACGCCACCATACTCATCGGCAAGGTCCCTGAGGACTTGACCACGGCGAGACACAAAGTAGCGATGGTGCTTGGGGTCAACATTCATAGTGTCCTCAACAACGTTGTCCTGAAAGACATTTCAAATGTAGGAACGTAAAACAACGAGTCTCAGTTTCTGTCACGTTTAAAAACCATTTCCAACAATACCAGGCTTTTGATGAGCTCCTCCAGCTCTCTTTGGGCTGTGCGCACCGCTTCCTCTGTGCCAACCACAGTGATGAGCTCCTGGTCTTTGTCCTCTGCAGTGGGGAAGATTATTCTGGCTCCGGTGCTGTCACGAACCTTACGGATGTTTCCACCACCTTTCCCAATGAGAAACTTGTGATATTCTGGCTTCGCGTGCAGCTCAGCAGTGAAACTCTTGATTTGCTGAAAAGACATGTTCAAGGTGAAGTCAACTTTAATCATGAGGTCAACCCAATACTCTGAACTTCACAATTTTTATCCAAGTTATGCACGGGACAAGAAAATACCTGGTTTTATTGTGAACAGGATCTTGAAGCTGGGGTGACTAAGTATACGACAATCCATAAACAAAAAAAACCTGTGTGTGTGTGTGGGGGGGGGGGGGGCTTTTTAAAAACATTAAAAATAATACAAGTGCTAATGTTTTAAACCAGAACCCATTTTGTTAAAATTTGCTTTTACAATCAGACTATTTGGAGTAAAGAAATGGGGAACAATGTTCACATAGTAATACAGTTAAATTTGTAAACACTGCAAGATGCCATGGGAACCTCACAAAACCCTTAATGAGCTACAGTAGTCCCTTGTTTGTCGCAGGGGTTCCATCCCCCCCACCTGCATATAAGTGTACGTACGCACGCGCATGCACACACAAACACGTTTCAAACACTTTACACTCTAGCAATATTATAAACGACGTTTCTAAACTCTACACGCTCTAAAAGAGCACACAGCGTGTCGTGATCGCTGCCCTCCCACTGCAATCACAGGCAGAGCAGAGATCATGGCATGATGCAGGAGGGAGCTTCTCCCTGCACCTGTGGGCTGCATACAGGTGCTAAAATCGTTTAATTTATTTTTAATAAACAATTTATGCCTATCGTGCAGCTCATCCATCAGCCAATAGTGTGCAGTGCCAAATCTTACTTTGAAAAACTGCGAAACAGCTAGTCCACAAAAGTCGAACCAGGAAGTAGCGAGGGGCTACTGTATAACAAATAATTTTCCATATTTTGCATTCTTTGCAACTAGTGTGCTCTCTTTATCCCCAAGAAAATAGTGAAATGTTTGTTCTGATTTAAAATAAAACAAAATCTATAAGCCTCATGTTATACCGTTATTAAGATAATTACAAGAACATGTAATTTTCCCCTCTCCTATCCAGAAAAGTCATTTCCAGCTATCCTTTGTATAGTCTTCTGTACATCTGAATTTTTATTTGGGTGTCAAAAAATAAATTATGAATTTGAGTCTAAAGTCTGAAGATATTAAATTGGAGAAGTGTAGCAACCTCTTGCACTTGAACTCCTTAGACTGGTTTTGCTAAGAAATGAAGCAGCTCTTTAGTCTTGTAACCCCCACGCCACTCGTTTATCCGGATCAGCAAACGTTCAGTTTTTTTAAGAGCCGTTTGCACAAACCTTTTCTTCTGCCAAGGCAAGCAGTTGCTGCTTTGCTTTCTCCACATCCTCTACAGGGCCTCTGATGGTGACCTTATCAATCCCTGAGCCCTCAGTGGGAAAGTGGATGTGCACACCGCCACACTCCTCCATGATGGAGCGTACCAAACGGCCCTTTGACCCAATCAAGGAGTTGTGCAACTTTGAGGGAATGGACACGTCCACTTCTGTGATGTTGGCCTGAACACAACATTAAAAACACTAGATTTAGACTCAGTCATTTCATTAGAAAAGACAAATTGTTGGGAGCTTACAAGCTGCTTCTGAATGTCCAAGATGCAGTTGCGTGCAGCCTCACAGTTTGCCTTCTTCCCTGTGATCACGATCATCTCAGAGTTGCTGTTCTCAGCAGGCAGGTCGATCTTTGTGTTGGTTTCCTCTCGAATCTAGAAAATAGGAGCAAACAATTGTCAGCAAGTGCTTGTTCATGAGAAGCTTGTAGGAGCAATAGGACAAAGTACCTTCTTGATGTTTGAGCCTCCTTTTCCAATTATGTTTCTATGAAACTGCTTGAAGATGGGTACGGAGACAGAGTGGCTGTTCTCAACCTGACCACAAATATTTATACAGGTTAACGATCAGCTCCCGGACCAGAAATTTAATACCAGTGGAGTTTAATGACAAGAGACCAAAAACAAACCAAGTTTACCATTTCAGCCACTATCTTCTGCATAAACTTTGAGCATTTCTCAACCTCTGTCCTCGGGCCTCTAAGTTGAACGATATCACTTTTCTGTGCTGGGTCAGGGAAATTGATGATGACCTGAAACGATCATAAAATTTAAAATTAAAGCCAATAAGTTCTCTACAAACAAAGTCATATGTCAACTAATACTTATTGTTTGCAACTGACCTCTGGAAATTTATCACGCACTTCCTTTATCTTTTCCCCTTTTTGGCCGATGATGGCTCTGTGAAAACGCTGTTCGATTATCAAGTCCTTTGTACGCTCATTCTCCTGTCGAGTCAAAATACTGAGTAACGCACAGCACCATGGGAAGAAATTATACCGCTGGACTTAAATCTGAACCAACCATGCGTGACGCCAGCTCTAGCAGCTTCTTCTTGGCTTCCTGAACACCTTGGGGATCCCCCTCGATACGAATGAGGTTGCTCTTCTCGTTGTCAGGAGGGATACGGACAGTCACCTTGTGCAGCTCTTTGATGCGGTTGACTAAAAAGTTTTATTAGAAAAACATTGTTTACTATACAGCTGAAATGTCTACACGAACAAGATTTGGTGAAAACACTTACTGTTAACGCCTCCTTTCCCAATCAGGTGACGATGGAATTTAGGATCCACTGTGATCTCTGTGTAGTCCATTCGGCTTACCTGTGAAGACAATTTCATTTTTATAGCACCAACTCTGATCATCATTTATGTGATACCATTTTTGATTCCATTTCCTGGTACAGTTAGGCTTACCAAATCTGTAACAATGACTTCAATCTGACTCTGAGCCATTTGGACATCTTTGGTAGGACCCTCCAAGGTGATCCTATCTTCTCCTTCAGTAAACTCAATATGTACCTATAATCAAAATACAGGAAAATACTGTTCAACTCAAGTTAAAGAAAATAAGATTTTTAAAAGTTTTGAGGTTATCAAACCTTGGGCATTTGTTGGGTAATCTTGGCCAAATTCTGCCCCTTTTTACCAATAATAAAACGATGAAGCCAGGAAGGGGCTGACACCGAGGAAACGATGTAACTGTTTGCCTGAAAATGCAAACAAGTTTAGCATTACCATTCGCTCTTGTTGCCATTTTTAAATTCACCTAGAGGGATGTGAAATCATCATTTTACCTTGGCATAAACTTCAGTGAGGGCCTGACCCAGACGGTCTGGCTCCCCACGAAGGATGACAGTTTCTGAGCTGTTGTCAGAAGGTGGGATCTCAACCGAAACACCAGTTCTATCTAGGATCTCCTGCAGGGTGTTTCCCTTGGGGCCAATCACATATTTGTGCTGGGATTTCTTCACTTCTACTGCAATGGTGGTGGTATTCTTCTTCTACAACAGAAAACAGATCATTGTTTGAAACATTTTAAGCACAAGCATCCTTATCACAATATGGATACATTTTGCTTACCTTCTCTTCATAAATCTTCTTGATCATAGCCACAGCAAGGGCCACCTGCTCCTTTTCCCCAGTGATGACGATCTCAGTCTTATTTACGCTTGGAGGGGGGACATTAATGCGAGCACCGGCTTCCTGCATCATCTCTCCTACAACCTTATTGTGGGCACCAGTGATGAAGGGGTGGTACACCTTATCAATGTTCACCCTCTCCACAGCACGCTTGTCCTAAAGGAACATGGAGAGGGGAATAGACAAACAAAGGATGAATACAGTTGTACAGAATCAGAATAATATCAAACATAAGACATTTTAAGCCAAATTACCTGCTCAGCAGAAATCAACAGGATCTCATGCTTTGCCTTTTCTAGGCCCTCCTTCGTACCAGAGATCTTAATCTGGTTGCTGGGATCGTCAGGTCGTGGGATCTGGATTTTGGTGGCGGTTTTGAGCTCCAGTTCCTGAAGTTTCTCCCCACTTTTGCCAATGACAAAACGATGGTGCTCCTTAGGGATGGCGACAGTAGCTGAAGCCTGGTTGGATTGAAACAGTAGTCATCATTGTAATACATGTAAGCCACACTAAGTTACAACGAAATCTTACTTGAGTCTGCAGTCGGGACACAATTTCCTTCCGGGCCTTCATCACAGCATCCAGCTTTCCAGAAACCATGATGGAAAGACCCTGATCTTTTGCCAAGGAGAGTTCCAGATGGGCTCCAGTCTTCTGCATGATGTCCACACAGATCTTCGCTTGGTCTCCTTCCCCAAACTGAGTTATGTCCTTGTACTTGCGCTCCTCCAGCGGCACATGGAAAACCTTGGACATCAACAGAAAATGTCAGCAGGAATTAAAAAAAAAAAAAAAGGTTTAAAATTTAAACCATCATTGCAAGTACCCACAGAAATGGTCCAACAATACTTTTAAATGGAATAATCAATTTTATAGAAATTTCATAGACGTGAATAGCAATAGACTTAAGCCAATAATTTATACAAAAATTTTTTTTTTAAATTGTCAGTTTATGTAGGTGGCATCCAACACTTGAGTAGGTGGCAAAATTGCCGCCCACCGCCTGTTATTGAGAAGGGTGGACAAGAATGATATGCAACCGATAAAAAAAAAATAATAATAAAAATAAATAAATAAAAATTATTTAAAGCTTGGACAAACATTTTTATACCAACACTGATGCTTATATTTGGACAACATGTCACGATAGACAAAGGAAAAGTGGCAAGCTCTGTTAAAGCAAAGTTTATACGGAGCAGCTCTCCTGCAGTTGGCCTTCAGGTTCAAGTTCTCTGTATGCTGCATCTTAGTAGTTCCTGGGACTGCACTCTTCTGAACACAAGGTTGTTCCTCAAGTCTGCTGGAGCCGTTCTCCCAACTTTGGAGGTCATCGGCCCTTATTGCTCCACTGACCCCTGGGATTACTGAAGCCTCAACTTTCCAGTCATCTGCTTTTCCCTCTATGCCACTGGTGTGTAAGAGTGTACGACATAGGGGTGCAGAAAAAATAAAAAATTAAAATAAATAAAAATTATTATTATTAAATAAAAAATTTTAAAAATCTATTTTTTTTTAAAGAATCTAGATTCTTAGTCCTGGCGATTCTGAATAGATTCTAAAAGGATAAAATGATGCAAAAAGATTTGATACAGTAAGGAATCTAAAATTATTGTTTTAAATAAACGTTCCATTTGTTTATATTGTTGTTTAATCTTTTCATCTCGTCAATTACATAAAACAAAATGCATGACCATTTCAATAGAAAAATCGTGTACGAATTGAAAAATCCATTTTGAATCCAATCGTGACCAAAAAAATCTGAATCGAATCACCAGACAGATTCACAACTCTAGTACAAAAAATAAAAAGATGAAATAAGTATACCTGGGTAATAACAGAAGACTTGAGAGGACGAAGTTTCTGCCAGGCATTGGCCGTTTCCTGGGTCCCCTCAGGTGTATTTGCCTTCTCCGGCAGAGGTGGGAAGGCATCCTTGTAGGTAGGAAGGTCCTCCTCAACCTCTCCAGCACCAGGACCACCAGCAGCTGAGCACAGAAAAGATGGATGAGCCACTCATGATAAATTTATCCATGTTCTCCTATAAATCCAGAACAGCTGTTGATCCGTTAATCCTCACCATTCTTCTCTTGCAGGAGCCCACTGCGGTGCTCCTTGAAGCTTTCCTGCGTAAGTACAGCGACTGAGCTCATGGTTAAAATCCCACACTAAAACACAGAGTCCGAGCGTGCCACTGAAAAGAAAGCTTATGTTATATTACAAGTACCACAGAGCAGAGGAAGCATCTTCAGTAGTGAAAGCCAGTGAGCGGGTGGGATCAAATAAAAATACAAGTTGTCAAACTACAAAAAAACATTTTGACAAATATGAGAAACGGTTTAACACGTTACGTTTCCACCTGAGGAAAATGAAGCTGCAACCACAAAGCAAGGTCTGTTGAAGTTCATCATCTAAACCTACTGGTGGTTTAGGAGGAAGGAGATGGATCCTGATTAGAGCTGGGCGATATCTTGAGATTTTAAAAATATGAGATGAGACTATATCGATATTAACGTCGTGAGGAGCTGATTTTGTTGGAACGTATTGGGCATTTCAAAAGTTTGAGACAGACATCAGATCGTGTTTTATCCGATATGCTGTAAAGTTTTATTTTATTTTTATTAAACAATGTCAAGTTATCATTGTTAAAGTTTGTTTTGTCAAACTTGAGTTTTGTTGCCAGTCGCTTTTGTCAGGGCGCTCTTGTAAATGAGATTTTTTAACCTCAACGAGACCCCCCCCAGTATTATCATTACTGTTACTATTATTAATTTGTCCTCTCATGCCCAGGCTACAACACTGAGACCATATACAGAAAATTATTTAACAATATGCATCACATCAAGTTTTAATTAAGAGACAGTCCTAAGAAAATTATCCAGTGACTTCTTATATTTACATACTTGCAAAATTATCACAGCTATATCTTATCTGTTAGGAAATGTTCAAGTCTAGATCTTTGTCCTCGTTTTCCCATTTCAGATCAGCTTTACTAATGCAGCAACTAAAACTTATCAATGATAAAAACAAACAAGTAAAACACACAACCTTAGCATGCCAACTAGAAAAGACCGGATAATTTTGAGTCACATGGACAGGCTTACAAGCTCCTGATAAAATGAACTTTGATTTGATTTTATTGTCTTATCTACTTTGAAGAAAAACCAGCGTAACACTGAACGCTCACTTCTGACACATTAGCAATGTCAACAGTGTTGAAGTAAGCAGAGTACTAGTGCTGAGTAAACGCACTACACCTTTGTACCAGAAAGAGGGGAGAAAAATAAAGACACACGTGAGAAGGTGTTGAAGCTACACTGAAACATCTTCAACCATCATGTTCAGTGGTGTAAGAGATAACACAATATGGGAGTTAAGATTTAATCCAGTGATTCCTCTCAAACTGAAAATCCTTTCACCTGGACCTCATGTGTAACCGTACAAACTTAAATGCTGTTTCAGTTCTTTTTTAATAAAGTGTGGAGACAGAAAGGGAGCAGTCTCGTTTGATTCTGTGTTACAAAGTTACATGACACTTGATATAAACTAACTTTCCACAAAACGTATTCAAAGAAAATCTAGGTAAACTGAATAAGGTGAATTGTTAAAAAAAAAAAAAAAATGGATGAATGAATAAATGTTCTCCCCTAAAGTGCCTGAAATCAATAAGAACTTTCATCTTGAGGTCTATGACAACTACTTTAATTTCAGAGAACACCCTCAGAGGCGTCTGTCAGCTTTTATACCTCACTGTGTCAAAGACAGTCAGCAGTTTTAAAAAGGAACCAATATTTGGAAGATTTACTTATTTTTATTATCATTGTTGTTGCTATTATTATTATTGACAACAAGAACAACAACATTGTTGTTGTTGTTTTTATTAGTTTATTAAGGTTGTTATTATAGTTATCGTTATTAGTTGTTGTTGTTACGGTTGTTATTATGGTTATTGTTTTGTATAACCAGTGACCTAGAGTTTGAGAACAGAAGTAGTTTGGGTAGATGACACAGGGCCCCACCTCTGTTATGTGGACAGAAAGAACACGTCCTGTACCTGTGCCAGTTACCATTACCTGAAATTATGACTGGTTTCTTAAAAACAGTGTTCTCTTGCACTAGTCATTTCCATAAGAAGAAGTTTTGACTAAGCATTAGTTACCGCTTTTACAGGCAGCAACTCTTTAGGTGCCGTTAAACTTTTAAATACCTTTTTATGATCTACTGTAGCTGCCAGCTCCAGAAGAACTAACTTAACTGCACACCACACGTGACCACTTGCCTCGGCTAAAAATGGATGTAAATGTGATTATAAAGAAACTGTGTCAATCCTGCCCCGCACAGGATTGTGTATAATATGCGAGGAGTGGTCAAACAAGTAATTGTGTTAAAAATAAAAATGTTAAGTTGTTTTTAGAAAGTTGGCAAACACTCCCAATTTGACCAAACAGATTTGAAGCCTCTGCTATTAGGAGCCCTTATTTCCTTAATTTTGGGAAATTGGCCGATACTTGCATGAGAAACCGATTTTACCGGGTTTTTTTTGTTTGTTTTAACAACAATAGTCTGAACTTCATTTATATTCAAAAGCACTACATCATGGCCAATTAAAACAAGTTTGTATTGTTTTAGGATATTGTTCAAGGGCATGTTTTTCAATAAAATAAGACTGAAAATTGGGCAGCACGGTGGTGCAACTGGTAGAGCTGCTGCCTTTCAGCGAGCAGGTCCTTGGTTCAAACCCCTGTCCAGGGGCCTTTCTGGGTGGAGTTTGCATGTTCTCTCTGTGCATGCGTGGGTTTTCTCCGGGTACTCCGGTTTCCTCCCACAGACCAAAAACATGCATGTTAGGCTGATTGGTAACTCTAAATTGTCCCTAGCATTGAGTGAGAATGGTTGTTTGTCTTGATGTGTCCCTGTGATGGACTTGCGACCCGTCCAGGGTGTACCCCGCTCCTCGCACGACCCCCGTGACCCGAAATGGAAGAAGCAGGTGAAAGATAATGGATGGATAGTAAATGTGAAGACTTACCAGCTAAATGGTCAGTTACCAGATAATCCGTCCTGTAAAAGGCAAGTTCCCGTCAGCCTGCCAGCTTTTGCCTGGGGGGGGGGGAAAAAAAAAGTTTTGTCAATTTATTTATTCATTGGGGGGGGGGGGGGGGAGACATTAAAAACAACAACAAAGATTTTAATGTTAATCTAGAGTTGTCGTTCTCAGAATCAAACACCGAGTCATGGTTTTGTGACATAAACGTGTAAAATTACTCCCACCAAGTCAAGCCAGACAACTGAAACCATTTGAGAGTTCAGGCTCCACTGAACAAACAGCTAACCTCTAGAACGGGTGACGAGACTCACTTACAGAAGGGGGCCAAAATTAAAACCTTTTTCAAACTAAGGGACGGTTTCAGAATCTGCAGTAACTCAAGTTCGATACCCAACATCTTTTCTTGGTTGCAGGTTTGATTGGTCTCTGACGTTCTGTCGCACTTTTGACATCATTTTGAAAGATTACTGAAAATTTTTTTTATTTTTTAAATTTTACATTTAAAATAACATCTTGGGGGTCAGATAAGATGTCAACGAAGGCCACATTTGGCCCCCGGGCCTTGAGTTTGACACATGTGCAATCACATTTAAAAGACCATAGTCTGGCCTGCGGTGGGTGAATCAGGTCTTTTAGCAAAAGAGACACCAAATAACTCAACATTCATTAACATGAACTCAGCATTCTCAGCTGAACCACAAACTTGTTCAAGATTAGCCAACCACTAATCTTAGTTTGCTCAAGGGTTACCAGTATGGATTGAGATTTACACCGAAGCAAGATGGCATTTTAAATAAGTTGTTAAACAATTTAGCACAAGGTAGAGTTTCCTGCCTCAGTACAGCAATGAGACAAGTAAACAGTTGTGTAGCAAGAAAACCCAACTCCAGCAGGAATACATGGTCTACAAGAAACAGTAACTTTTAGTTCCAATTATAGTTTTAATCATCTCGACATGCGTCAGTGACTACATGCATGTCAAAACTAAAAACCATTACGGTCTTTAGCTCGAAATAAAGCATTAAATGTTTGAATTCAGTTGTTAAAAGAAGCTCCAAGTTGCTCTATATTTGACTTGAATTCATGTTTTCCACGGCCTGGAGCCAGTCCAGTGTTACAGCACGAAGTGGCCGACAGCTGCTCGCTCCAGGAGTTCAAGCTAGCCGCGGCTAGCCTGCCTTTAAAACTCAAATACACTCAAACAAACAACATCTGCCTCACACTGGGAGGGAATGTTACAAATATGAATTCAAGGCGTGTGACATGCCCAAAAATACAAACGCAGCTAAACTGATCATTAGCTCAAAAGCTTATTTAGCTCGTTAGCAAACTTGCTAAAAACTTTAACAGGGCTGTGACACGTCGGCTAATTTAAGTTAGCTCGTCACATAAGCGCTTCAAGGACTTCAAATTATGCCTTTTCTACTTCACAACACTTCGTTTTCAATTTGTCCTAAGCGGGGACTTTACGATTCCTCCATCCACACGTTTACACTGCGACAGTGAATCGTTTACATGCGGTTCTTGTCGCATCAGAACGAGAATAAAAGTTGAAGCGCAGCTAGCGAGCTAACGCTAGCTTCCATCACAGCTCGCCAAGTCCACGTAGGCACAGCTGAGACGGGTTAACGTGACACGGAGTCAGGCCACAACACCACGCAGCGCCCACGCTCCGCAGACGACACGTCCAGCACACGCGCGACTTGTAAGGCAGGCAGTCACAGTCGTGGACAGCCGGAGAAGATCCGAGTTGTGTGGGACAAGGAGAAAGTACTTACTTATTTTTATGCTCTCGTCTGCCCTGAAGGTGCAGGAGCTGAGATGAAATTCCACTGGCGAGAAGGTGGGAGTGAAGCCTGACGGATATATAGCGGAAGCAGCCACCAATCACGGCCTCCGACGTCACAGAATCCGGTTACAGATCTCTTCTGTCCACCTCCAAAGAGACGGAGCCGCTGGAAGTGATCCTGTTAGAATTAATACAAGATTATACTGCTTGTTGTTGGAGTCTCCTGAAGTAAGAGTGTGATAAACCACCTGGAGGTTTTATTTGTTTGTTTGCTTGTTTACTGCAAAATACAACCAACTTCCATCCATTCATCCATCATCTTCTGCTTGTTCTGAAGTCAAGGTCTCGGAGCAGCAGCTTGAGCAGGGAGGTCCAGACGTCTCTTTCCACAGACACCTCCTCCAGCTCTTCTGGGAGGACTCCAAGGTTTTCCCAGGCCAACCGAGAGACGTAGTCTCTCCAGTGTGTCCCGGGTCTTCCTGGGGTCTCCTCCCAGTCAGACATGCCCGAACCACCTCAACTGGCTCCTCTCGATGTGGAGGAGCAGCAGGTCTATTCTGAGTCTCTCCTGATAACTGAACTTCTCACTCTGTCTCTAAAGGAGAGTCCAGCTACCCTGCGGAGGAAACTCATTTCAACCGCCTGTATCCACGATCTCCTTCTTTCAGTCACTGCCCAGAGCTCGTGACCATGCGTAGACTGGCCGGTAAACAGAGAGCTTTGCCTTACAGCTCAGCTCCCTCTTCACCACAACAGACCGGAACAGAGTCCGCAATACTGCAGACACTGCACCAATCCGTCTGTCAATCTCACGCTCCATTCTTCCCTCACTCGTGAACAAAACCCTGAGATACTTGAACTCCTCCACTTGAGGCAGAACCTCACCCTCGACCTTAAGAGAGAAATCCACCCTTTTCCAACTGAGGACACAAAATGCAACTTTTAAAGTATAAATTATTCTCACTTTTTAACGGGCTGAGTCTTACCACTTTATTATGTGATCTCTCAGATAACTGTATCTTGAATTCAAAAAGCTGAGTGAAATAAAACTGCAGCTTTAAATAAAGCTGTTCAAGCTTGAAGGTTGGAGAGTGGTGGCGTAGAGGTTGGGAAAGGTGGGCTTGTGATCGGAAGGTCACCGGTTCAACTCCCCGGGCGAACAACATCAAAGTGTGGGTGGTAAAGGTGAAGCATTCACACCTAACTCCACCCTCAGTTGCCCCACTCTGGTCCCTTAAGCCCCACCATCTGCTCCCCTGGGCGCTCTAGATAGCAGCTCTCTGCTCCACACAGAGGTCTGTGGTAGCTTGGTGGTCTGTGGTGTCGGCAGCAAGGGCATCAGGCATAAAAACAATTGCCAAGTCTTGGTGCGAGTTACTTCGCTGAGGTGACCCCTGAGTAAAGGAGCAGCCGAAAGAAGAACAAGAAGAAGTTCAAGCTTGACTGTTAAAATTGTTTTTTTATTGACCAGCATTAAAATATTTGAAGATAGAGATATTTCAGACACTTTAAAGTGAGGTGTTGTTAAAAGATTATGAACATTTAATGTCTTACCTGTTGTAAATATGGTAGCTCTTTCAAGGAACTCAGTTTGGAGAAATGGGGTGTATGTTTGACAGGACTGGCAGGATGAGTCCAAACACAACCAAAACCAAACTGGATTGCTGCCATCTTTAAAAAAATCATTTATGAAGTTGGTTAACTCAAAAACTGATTAATAAATTTAGACATTGTCATTAATTTGCATTACATTGTTATTTACTGTGGGTCTCTGTAAGTGTGGATGGTGACAGAAAGTTGTAGCGCTTCGGGTAAGAATTTCATGCTAGACTTTTTCACAAGATGCCTCAGTCTGAGTCTGAGGCATCTTTTAGGGTCCTTGGTGTTTATTCTGAATAAACTGAGGTGGCAAGGGGGGTCGAAGCCAGTCCACCTCTGGTGTGCATCTGTGTCGTCGCTGAGAAAGGCAATCATAGAGGTAGAACCGCTGCCATGTGAAAATCTAAGTCAAGAAGCTGCAGCTCAATAGTGTGATGAACTGATGAAAATAGTATGCAGCTGCAGGGTGAGGAAGGTTATCAATTCATTTTAATTCAGTTTATTTATACAGCGCCAAGTCACAACAGAAGTCCTCTCAGGGCACTGAACAGAAACATTCATATTTAAAAATATGGAATACTTAATATAATAAAATAAATAAAATGAAATAAAATATGAAATACTTATAATATATAAATTATAAGTTAACATTATTTATCTGAGGAGCAGACAGCTTTGAGTTCAACTCCATTGCAGAACTCTCATCCTGAGCAAGCATGGAGGCGACAGTGGAAAGGAAAAACTCCCTCACGAGGAAGAAACCTTTAGCAGAACCAGGCTCAGGACAAGCGACCATCTGCTTCAACCAGCTGGGTTTGGAAGGAACAGATACACAATGGCAGGTCAAGAATCACATGTTAAGATAGAAATAGTATCAAATGAAAACTATTCAATTTTAACAATTCATTTAAAGAAATGAGGTCAATTTGTCCTCTAGTAGTCGAAGCTTAAGGCAACATAAGAAGCCAACCCTAATAATAGGATTTATCAAAAAGGAAAGTCTTAATCCCAGTCTTAAAACTGGACAATGTGTCAGCCTCATGGACAGAAACTGGAAGTTGATTCCACAAGAGAGGAGCCTGAGAACTGAAATATCTGCCTCCCATTCTGTTTATGGAAAATCTAGGGGCCACGAGTAAGCCTGCAGTCTGAGAGCGAAGTGCTCTGTTAAAAAAATATGGAACAAGATCTTGAATATAAGATGGAGCTAGGTTGTTGAGAGCTTTGTAGATTAGAAGTAAGATTTTGAATTCAATTCTGGACTCGACAGGGAGCCAATGGAGAGAAGCTAAAACTGGAGAGATATGATCTCTCCCACTAACTCCAGTTAAGAGCCAACTGAACCCTGAGACAACTTTGTGGTGAATTGGCGCTACATAAATAAACAGAAAACTGAACTGAATAAAGACTCTGGCAGCAGCATTTTGGATTAACTGAAGAATATTTGGACACCCAGATAATAAACCATTGCAATAGTCCAGTCTAGACATGACAAATGCATGAACCAGTTTTTCTGCATCATTTTTAGATGTTTCTAATTTTAGCGATATTACGCAGGTGGAAGAAGGTGGTTCTAGTAACGTTTTTAACGTGGGGGATAATGTAATGGTCAGCAGCCCCCGCTGACCCCTCAGCTGCTCATGCCTCTGCTCCTCATGCCATGTTTCTGCCCATCCTGCTATATCTTGCCTTCTTACTTTGTGTTCTCCTCTCCATGTCACTTGCCATATTTTCTGCCCTCATGCCATTGTTTCTGTTTCCCTGCTGTGTTTTGCTCATCACCCATCTCTCATTGCTCACATCAGCTCCTGTCAGTCAACCGTTCACCACGCCCCCTCAGCCAAAAAGCCCCCAGTATACTGCCGCGTACGTCCATACGCAGAGGTACGCACATACGTACGCAGAGGTACGAGCGTACCCCACAGGGCATGTCCGTGCAAAGCTCAATTTTTACGACCGCATACGCGTACGCGGTGTCGCACAATAAACTGCCCAGCGATGGACTGTTTTGTATGTGACACCGATGTATTAAATTCCCCTTCTTCATCTCTGATCTGGCCTTTTCTTTTGTTTGTTTGTTTTGCCAATAGGCAGTGATCTCTTCCTCCTCCGTTGATGCAATGACTGAAATGGTGAGAAATGAAGGAATTAACGAGGAAATTAAACTCAGGTCCAGCGTGGCTGCGGGAGGGTCCGGAGATTTCCTGGTGTGCTGGTCTGATGTGTGGGCTGTAGAGCTAGCACTCCCTGTTTGTTTGTTTTTTTTTTTGTTTTTTTTTTATTTCTTTTTATTAACAACATATAAACACGGAACACCGCTGTGGCTGAGGCTGCAAGCAGTCTTTTTTTTTTTCTTTCCCCGACCTGTCAATCAATCCAGTAGGCGTGTCAGCAAATGACCAATTGGCGACCTCAATTTGAAGGTAAACGCCCCTTGTCTGTGAAGCTGCTCTGCAGCTGCTGGGGGTGTACGCTGGAGTCTGAAATTTGAACCCTCTGCGTACAGTACACGCATACGTATGCGTGAACGGACGTACGCGGCAGTATACTGGGGCTTAAGCATAGCTATCAGCCTTCATTCCATGCACCTGTTCAGCTCTCTACTTGAGCTCCATGCTCACTCTCTGTCCCTGCTGAATTATTACACCTCTCAAGGTCCCTGAAAGTAAAACTATTGATAGTTTATTTTGCCATAGTCTTGTATCCTTGCTTTGAACCCTCGCCTGTTTTTTGACACCTTGTCTTGCCCACTCTGGATTCTTCTGCATATCCGACCACGGTAACGACCTTTGCTCTCCCTTGACTACTCTTTGGATTACATTTTGGCTCTGGCTTCTCTTCTCTGCTCCCCTGTGCTTGAAACCTGCTAAATCTACTGGACCACGAACCTAGATTCCCCTTTCTGGACTCTACAAGCCTGGACCACCCTGCTGCTGCAGTTAACCCTCTTCCTGAGTGACGTCACTGGCAACAGCGCGACTACAGCACCTGCCACGTACAGACTGAGGTTAGTGCCTCTTGCTGCAACCACATATTCTCCTCGCCAAATTCACTAACCTCTCTGTCTTTTAAGATTGGACTCCTGCCTGGACCATGACTCCAGCAACCAGCAGACAAATAAATAAAAACTGTTATTGTTTTTCACTCCTGTGTCTGGCTGATTAAGAAACCAAAGACCCGATCTTGAAAAAGATTTTTAACAAGCTGGAGGACAGATTAATGCCTTTTAAGGAGGGCGAAAGACTGAAAAATTAATTCCTAAGATGCTCAGGTCCAAAAACCAAAACCTCAGTCTTGTCTGTATTCAAATACAGAAAATTCAGGATCATCCAGGTTTTTATCTTTAAGACATGCTTGTAGTCCAAGTAGCTGATTGGATTCATTGGGTTTCATGGACAAATGTAACTGTATTATCAGCATAATAATGAAAATTTATCCCATGCTGTTTAATATTACCTAATGGAAGCATATATAAAGTAAAG